AGCAGCAGCAGCAGCAGCAGCATCGTCATCATCCTCGTCATCATCAGCAGCAGCAGCAGCAGCAGCAGCGGTACCACTATAGTCATGTACCAGGATCATTGTAATGTAGACGATGAGAAGATCTATCATAACGCGTGTACGTTGATTACACAACTGATCATGATTAAGCTGTATAACGTATTTACGCGCTTGAACACACACACGCACACTTGTATACACACGCACTTGAAGCGTTTCAATAAAATATATACGCAGAGGTCGTGTGCTGTGCACGGCGACAGTTAAATATAGTTAACTAGAGCACTCGGAGAGCACAGACCTCCGCCAAGGCAGCTGAATTCTCTCAATGTGAATTTTTTTATTAATTAATTAAGTGTAAAAATTAATTAATTAATTAAATAATTAATTGGATCCGAATTAGTGCGAGCGTGCAGGTAGGGGAGGACTGTGGTTGCCCCTTTGCCTGTGGTTGCGTGTTTGTAAGTCTACAGCCAGCGCACCTAGCGGAAGTGCACTGAAACGTGCATGTTAACAAACCCACAAACCAACACTCAAACACACGCCCGTGAAAACATAACCTCCGCCAAGCCCCTGGCGGAGGTAATAAGTACTATAATCGCGTGCCTTGGCAGTTAGAGGCAGTTGCGCAAAACACTCTGGAGCCAGCCAGCTGGGTACATGCGCGCGCGTGTGAATAAGATCTAATAACGATATAATAGTTATATGAATTCTGTTCTACCACCAGTCCTAGTGTCAACGCGTTAGTTGTCATCTATCTAAGCCCGGCGCAAACGCGTGTCATTCTCGTCAACACCCGCGTAAAAGTGGTTAATCTCACGTTTCAGTGAAATTGAGGATAGCCTCATGAAGCAACAGGCACAATCGTTACAAAAAGACGGCAGTCGGTTGGTTGAACATCCTTCTTGTGCGACAGAGCTGGGCTTCAGTGAGAGTTGTGGAAACTTTAAAGGTGGCGCAGTTCCAATCAGCGTAGATTTTGGCAATTCTATAAAAAACTGGTACGTATTTTGTCCGTTTTATTTTTGGGGGTAAATAATTCAAATCATCAACTCTCTTAAAAGATCTCCATACAATCGAATCTTGCTAACGCTTGTTGTTTCGTCGGTTATTTTTAAAAATATCCTTCAAGAGATATTAGTTTCGAATCACTACACGTCTCTTAGCACTGCGTACGCCATACGTCTGCGCGTTACTAGCGTGTGCGGATATATCGCATATATCGGATATATCGCAGTGTTCGTGAATTTGCATGCGTTGCTATATAGGGCAAATGAGCGGGAGTGTGATGAAACTAGCGGCACCAAATGTAAAGGCTGCGTGGTAGAGGTGGGGAAGCGTAAGCCCGCTGCTTTCCCTGATCTGGGTCTATCTAGCATCGTCACCTCTGATATCGTTGTGATAAATATCAGAAGTCCTTTGACAGGTATATGTATTTAAATAGGGCTTCTTGGGTTATTTACGCACTAATTGTTTAGAATAATCAGTTATATAAACTAAGAACACTGATCTGGACCTGTGTCAATGTATTATATGCGACCGTTATTGATAGTTTAGACATATATCACGATTTACATAGGTAAATTGTTGTGTAAATAAACAACGAAAATCAACTTTAAATCACCGCCTTTTTTATGTTTTAACAGGACGTACAGAGGATATCATAAATCTGACCGAAGGCATTAGGTTTAATATCACTATCACGAATATGAAACGATCAAACTTCGCTTGCAAGTACATTGATGTAGAAACGGGAACAATGTCCTCGGATGGTGTTGCAGTAGGTGAGGATAAGGATTACGATGGGTTGCAGACACCGTTATCAGCGCTTATAACAAGGCGTTCACACTTGCATTCGAACCCCATAACTTAAGTTGATCACGTAGTTTCGGAACGGCTATACATTATTATTAAATATTTTCACTGTAGATATATATAAAAATATTATCCTCTTATTTTTGCCATCCTATATTTGTGTTGCGATTATGTTTGACAAGCGTTCATAATAGAAAATAATAGAGTTTTCTATTATAGTTTTCTATAATTCTATAATTCTATAATTCTCTGCCTATAATAGAGGTTTCTATTATGGACTCTTGATAGGGAGCATCTACGAGACAGAATCGTTAGTAGAGTGCATTTCTACTCACCTGACATCGTTCGTGATAACGGCTGACCCGGTTACTACTACATTAACTCCATGGACAAACCCACCAGTTGCCTTGGGTATAACAGTTGTTATGAATTTTTACGCGTTAATATAATATTATATATCTATATTCGATAAATCGCGCCGTATCAGTATAGGTAGCCTACATGCGAATCATTTGACCTGTTTGGGGGGTTAGTTAACTTAATTGGGTATAAATATTGTTGAATTACTAAAACCCGAGGCGTAACATAATAGCATAATTCATGCGATTTCATAATTTCAGTAAATTACACTACGAGTACAGTGACCATTGTCCTGGCCGTGGTTGGAATCTTTCTGCTCATCGTGATTGGTGTCATCATCGTCATTGCCTGGAACAAGCATAACAAGAAGCAACAAACCGTCGATGCTCTTGAGCTGCACTATAATGTACCGGCTAAGGTCCATCATTCAACAGGCGCGGCACCGAAGCCGCGAGCATTGCCTGATAGCTGGGTGAAAGGATCCCAGTCTCGCCCGAACTCGGCTGGGACCACACTATCGGTACCTGAAGGGAGCAACCAGCGTCGAGTGCCATCGCCTGTTACAGTTCAGCATGTATAAATGCTCGGGCATGATAAACTCGCAGTGATAATTATTTAAAGAAAGAAAGTTTTTGCAATAGAGGAAGAACTATCTACCATTGCCCCAGGGCCGTAGCTGGCGCGGGGGGGGTCAGATGGCCCCCAGAGAAACGTATAGACATTACATGGTCAGTGACGGTCACTTTCCCAAAACATATCACGTATCTTTGCCCCCAACCCCCACCGGACAAAAAGGGTTCGCTACGGGCCTAACTCGACCCTGTAAATGATGAGGCTCGTAATGAAACATGGACTATGCAATTAATGCATTATATTGTGATAGAAAGAGAAATGAATCAAGAATTATTAAAGGAACATTTTTTGGCAAAATGAAACATTATTGGCATAGGTACTTCACGCACACAATGATCTAATATATTGTCGTACACACATATGGCGCGTATGGAATCTCGTGGAACTTTACTGGACAATCCCACGTTATTAATGAATATAGGAACGAACGGAAACATGCAGTTAGAGGCCTACGCCCTTTGAAGCACTAGATGCGACCTGTAATTAGTCGTTTCTAATTAATTACACTGTAGTGTAGAGTATGAACTGTGATATTCGTGATATGTTAATGTCGTAGAGCATTTAATGTCCTGGAATTTGTGATAAAAATGCAGTCTACCTATATAGTTGGAATTTCAAGGTGAAGTCTAATCAAAGTATAACTTTTTTTTTAAGGAAATAATACTCACTAACAAAAAAATGAACGCACGCACGCACACACACACACACACGGACATTTACGCCGTTTTAAGCCTAAATATATATATATATATATTTATTTATTTATTTATATCTTAGCTTAACTTAGATTGTGAGGTGCGGATACTATAATAGAATATGTAAAATCGTAATATTTAGGGTAAAAATCATGTCATTCATATCAATTTTGTAATTGTTACCGTAAAATAATAATAATAACTGTTATGATACAACTCTTGTAAAAATGAAGCCGGGGTTTGTATCAAATCTGTTATTCGCGTTTTCCCTACAATCTAGAAGATCTTATTAAAAAAAACAGGCATCATTGATTATAAATCAAGTCTGCATGCAACTTTGATATTTTTGCAAAATTGAAAAATGTTTTCTCACTGCCATTTCTCAACACGTGCCTGCTACTCACAAGATTTCAACATTCTGGTTCAACACAAGTGGTTGAGGATATAACACTTTTGATCTCAGATATGAATATAACGTTGGCTCAACTAAAAATAAGTGGCACGTAACCCATTGGCTTGATCTTCAAACGTATTAAGTATGTTATATCAGCCGAAAACTAGAATTATCAAGAATATATTCCTATATCACAAATCTAGTAGCAGGTATATATTTTTCGTAATACTGAAATGCTTTTATTATTATAATGTAGTATGGTAATGATATAGCTTATCTTTAATAGTGTATATTACCAGTGTAAAGTATATCTAATGTCATGAATTCCTTCATAGTATTGATAACAGCACGCATATAAATTGTTAAATATCTGCATGTATAATTTTATCTCGATCTATATATTCTACACAATATATAAACGAATCCCTTATAACGTGACCAAATTTACATACACTGCTTGTTTAACAATAAATAAAACTGAAAGCACTTTAATGATGATGATCGTTTTTCCTTGTTTCCTCTTTCCTTTTTCCATGATCAATGTTTTCCTTTTTTTATCGTGTATCATATGTCACACGTAAATCAAATTTAATAATTTTTAATTGGGTTATTAATAACATTTTAATTTTGGCAAAGATTTTAATACCATTCACATACTGTATACTGGAACCATCGTTTAGTACAGTGTAATTTTATAGCTTAAATTCACCGGGCTATGAAACAACTATCTAAGTGCATGCGTAATAATTATATGCATGCCAATATAATTGGTTAATATTACTAACTGTACGTAGGTCCATATCTAACAATCGATACTATAGATAATATATTTGGTCCTTAACTTGGTATAATTATATTAGCAGAAACGGATAAAAGGAGATATAAGCCACTGCAAAATCAGGAAAATATACTCATTTCAGGATGTCCTATCGGCCAAAGCTTCTCAAAAATACTTTTCTACTATTTCCATATGCAAGCCTATTTTTCCTAAACAGCATAGTTCTGCATTTATTGCAACACAATAAAATTTACCATTCACGCTCTAAAACTGACCAAGGTTTCACAATTTTGCTGATCCGTAACATCAAACATACGAGGGCTATATATCTAATATTTCCAGTAGTTGTGTTATTGCTATGAATATGAATAGGAACATGTGAGTTGTAGTTGTAAAGACATAACTGGTAGTTACTGTCTCTCTACAGCTTGTAGCTCACTAACCACCAGGCAAAACATGAAGCATATCACGCAAGAACAAATAATTTCATGGTGTTAGTCTTGCAGGACTACTGCGACTCTGTGAAAATTGCCACACAGCATTCGATATCAGTTAGCTTAAACCATAGAACGTGAGGGGGACAGTAATGTTGCGCAACAAAAGCAAAATCGTGATGTCCAGAAGTCCAAACATTAAATAGATGCCCATTTTGTTGGCAACTGTTAGCAGACTAATCGCACTCACACGAAGTTCTTCGATAGCAACTAGATTTATGCTATATCTGAATTGTCTTTAAGGTGACCAGAAGCTCAATGTTAAAGCCAGCTCTCGCCCATAAAGCGTCACAAGCTTCCTGTTCTAACTCTCACCACAGTCTCAACCCTGAGTATCGATGACGAGCATAGTTATATATAAGCAGAAAACAGTGGGCGTGCTTAATTTGTAGCATACAGTACAGGAAGGACTTTTCTCTGTATATTACCGTACCATTACCTATTCTTTTCTTTATACCTTTTCTAATATTGCCTCTATAGTCCATAATCAAATTGCTCAATAAACTTTTTTGAGTGACATATCAAAAGCAGCAATCTAATAAATTGTACATAATTCACTGACTTAAAAGACTGGCTATTCCCTATTCAAGATATACCTCGACTCAGATCTTGAACTGCTGAAAAAAGATCCACCACATAGTTCCACCTATTTCAGTGTCTAGAACGGGCAGGTAATAGATATTGATTTATAATGCCAACAAAGGCGTTCAACTCATAAGAGATGACTATGCCCCACATACAACAACTGCAACAACAACTTACAACAACTTACAACAATATAAATATTAATATATATATATATATTAATATTAATATAGCTTACAACAACTGAGCAACAAGGTCGACATGGCGAGATTGCTACTCTGCAAAGCGGGAAAGTGTGTAAAGTGAAACGTAAGAACAGCAGTTGTTTCCAGCCACCTCCTGCCTGCGCGCAACCCGTTGTCTCAGCATGCGCGGCACATGGCCTAAGCCATCGGGAATTCGTGGTCTGCGGCGTATCTGCCATAGGTCCAGTGGTACAGCTGTCGTTCGACATCGATGAGAAGGCTGCTGGCGCCGATGCGAAACAGACGCGGGTTGAGCCAGTCATCGCCCAACTCCTCCTTCATAAGAATCAGCCACGTGAGCGAGTCTTTTGCGGTGCGCACGCCCCCTGCTGGCTTGAACCCGATCTGTCACATCAACATGTCATCATTAGCAGCAGCTTCAGAAACAGAGGAGTAGTCGTTAACTGCAACACTGTCGTATCACAACTAAACTTGTAAATGTTAGCGAGTAAACACGCTAGGTGCCAATGCGTAAAGTGAGGTGATACGTCAGTTAGTTTATTCACATGTAGAATATTTTTCCTTAAATCTGTGTATGTGTGTGTGCACGTGCGTGCGTGCGCATGAGTGTGTGTGCGGTGCGTGTATATGTTCAGCTAGGTATGTGTGCAGAATAAAAAATAATAACAAGCAATGAACACACCTTAATTCCAGTCTTGTGGTAGTATTCTCGAATTGCTCTAACCATGACAAGACCAACTGGGAGAATAGCATTCACTTCTTCCTTTCCAGTAGAGGTCTTGATGAAATCAGCACCTTGTTAAACATAGGTAACAATCACAAACCCGCACCAACTGTTTTTCCAAACAGTTTTTCAAGGAAAATATTCCTAGAACACATGAAATATTGCCAATATATTAAAATCTAGAGCGGCTGAGCTATGGAAATCAAGGCAAGTAATAACAAAATTGAAGCAAGTACAAGCTTGCTGCAGAGATAATTAGACATTACAATAAAAGAGAACACATCTAACTCTATCATTCCGAGCAGAGTTTGGCTACATACCAGCCATCATGGCAGTGATGCTGGCTCTGTAAACGTTGGTCAGGGATCCGAGTTCCCCCGTTGCCAAGATCGCCTTCATATGAGCACCTCCACATGCTTGCTTCATCAATTTCACTTCATCATACACGCCTGTAACACATGCAATGCAAACAATAAGCATAATCCCTAATTATATTATTAAAATAAAATCATATTCAACAAAATATCAAACATTTCTATTTTCACCAGCCATGGGTTTTAATACAACTGACATCATACAAAGATTAAAAATCTATATCAGTTATACACTTCCAACTTGTAACAGAATACGCTTACGACGTTTACAATCATAATTACAGTTTTTATTGAAGTTGATTAAGGATTTTTGTGAAGAGCCAGCATTTGGAAATGCTATACTATTTTTACTAAATCTCTATATCGACTACAGACACAGTAACTTTCAAGTCTAACCTTGCCAGTTTCCAGTCAGAGCATAATTCCTGTTGATCACAATATCTATCTCAGTGGCACCATCTGCCACTGCCTGGTGGATCTCCTCTAAGCGTGATTTCAGGTGCGTCTGTCCAGTTGGAAATCCAGTGGCAACTATAATAAATGAAAGTGTCAATGACACTGTAGCTCACCTTGGGTGTGATAGAAGAGGGAGGGAGAATATATAAAGCAAGAGTATATATATGGGAGAACTCCCATTATATAGCATATCTCTCATCATATATACTCTTGATAATGATATATGCATAAGTTTTGATGCGAAAATAAATGTTTCAGATGTGAAAGTCTGAAATCTTGACGAGAGATGGCGCTACGCCTAAATGATCTCCATTTCGGTTTTCAAATATCGCGCAAATAAAAAAAAAATATTCCAATCAAATTACTGTAACGAAGAATCTAAAATAGCTGATAGACGATGTCAAGGCGAGCTAAAAATGAGACTGTTAGAAACTAGCTAGACGATTTTTTTCCACAGCAATCATATTAACTAAATATGCAATGAAACATTCTCCACTATGGTCAAATTAACATATAAGCCTTACGAGATTTCAGCTTCATATAACAAACGAAGAACATTTCTTATCTATTTATTTTAGAGAAGAAGTATAATATCTTAAATACCACTACTAATTTCAGTTAGATTATGCACGTGTTTATCCAAAACTAAAGGTCGTTCAGATAAATAGTAGTAATTTGTAAAGAATAAATATACCAGGTAGGTAAATTTAGGTACCAATTAGGTAATTATAGTTTTATGATAATTTCCTGGTCTAAAATGCAATAAAATTCAAAAGCACAACTTCACACATCTCCTAGACATGTGGGTTATGAGGACTATGAGTTGTCAAGACCAAGGTATGTATAACCAAAAATATGAGCATAGCAAGTATAGCATAGGGTGTAACATTGCTACAAAATCTCTTAAAAAGATTCTGCTACTACTCTGTCCTTAACGTAAAGATTTCAAACAGATTTCCTGATTATTCTCGTATTTTTTCGACCACTACACTACTTACTGTTATTACTTGCGCAACAGAAAGTGTCTAAAGTAATGCTAACATATTTTATAACACTCCCACACCGTTATATTCATAAAAATATGCAACAAAATAAATCTGTTTGTTTACATTGTGTTAACGCGGTTACTTGACGAAGCCATTTGTTTCTCAGGAGACTCTATCCCTGTACTTTGCAATAGTAACTTTAATTAAGCAACAGAAATGTTGTACCAGTGACAGTCTAGAACCACTACGCCACTCAATGAGATGCAAGTTTGTCTTGTGGTTGCCGATTTCAAGTGAATTGTCGCTATACGAAAGAATGTGGCTGCATTATTTGCTATTTGACAGACAATGTGCTGACAACTGCTCATGGAATAATCCTATAGGTATAAAATAAGATTTGCTATATATATGTATTTTGGGTAGCAAGTATACAGTAGATATAAATTGAATATATGCATGCATGAAAATTACCTGATGCTATTGCTATGTTGGGATTTCCAGCTTCTTTCAGATATTTTACGCAGTCAGCTACACGTGCAGAGTAGACACAAACAGCACCTACTGTTATACCTGTATTAACCACAAAAATCATAACTCATTATACATGTTATATCAAAAATACAGAAGTTATATAAATAATAGCATAAAACCAAATACATGTTAAATACATTTCTAAATAATCATGATAAAATCTCATATAAAGCACGTACGTAATTTATTACTGTGGGAATTAACGTTTGTTACAACTGACGTGGAAAAGTAATTGATGACAATTGAAAATTAATACTAATTTTCAGAGACATATACACCGTGTAAACTTATAATTATGGCTATATATAACTTATGACTATAAAAACAATATAATTTAATTTTAAAATCAATTATCCACAACATGTACATGACTTTACCATTTACTTACCTTTATCTTGCATGTTCATTGCCTTGAGCAGATCCTCTCTCACGGGATGTGCTGCTTTGTGACACAACCTCTGCACATTGGCAGGAGTGTCATCTCCAGACAGAGTTGTAAGGTCTATACATGTCACTGTCCGCAGCAGCCATGCTGCCTGTAAAAATATTTGGTCATTTGTGCAAAGTTCTATATATATATATATATATATATATACAGAGAGAGAGAGAGAGAGAGATATTTATACATTACAGTCACCTAGCCAGCTCACATTATGCTCAAATATTTTTAGCATTTCAGATGCCATAGAACTGTATTGGCTTATTTAAAGAACTGCAGTTCAGTGAGTAACAAGTATAGCTGGTGTTGGTAAAAGAAATATGTAATTGTAATTATAATATACTAATTTTTTATGATTTCGTTACAATGTTCTGAAACTTTGTGAGTGCCCTGAACATACAAGGGTCTATTGCGATAAGTTGTAGATATGTCTACGCTGCAGTCATTATCCACTTTGCTATAATAAATGGGCAAATAAATGCAGCAATGTATGTTATGTTGTTGTTTATAATCCCGGACACTATTCTAGAGCTCAACAGTCATTATGGACAAATGTGGTGAATTTTTGTATGACAACTTATTCTATGTTTCTGACCATGTAACATTGGATTTCAAGAAACATTTAAATATCTCTCTTTATTAACATCTTTACTACATCGTAAAATGCTTACCATACAATATCAGATTCCGAAACACCTTTTATCACATTTCAATTTGTAAAAATATTATGACACCAAATCTTGAAAACTACACAAGAACGGAAACTGTAAACTTTCAATGTTTGTCATGTTTGTTTTCCCTTGTGCTTGTGATGTGTTCACCTGACCAATGTAATCTTCGCTGGTCAGTCGCAGTGCATCGAAATCAAAATTGCAATTGCTGTTATATGACAACTAACATTACAAGTTTACAATTTCTGCTGTACAAAAATTCACCACATTTGTATACTGAAGGGTATGAGGCCAAAGAATAGCATCAGGTTACACACATTTTAGGGTACAATTTTTTGGTCTAGTCTGTGATAGGCCTATCATTACCTGCCACTGTTTCTTAACAGTTCGGCGTGTTCCAAGTTCAGCTGCTCGCTTCTTTACTGCGGGCAAGTTTACCTGAGTACTTAATACCCATTCCAAATCTGCAGAGGTAACAAACCATTTTGGCTTTGGGTTAATTACAATGTTTTGTAATGTATTGATACACTAACCATTTTACATATTATCAAAACAGATTAACAACTTACTTAACAACTTGCAGAGACAATGTATCCAACCATTATTTATATCCATCTGCCCATCTCATTCCATTCTATGAAACATGGGAATTTTTACTTTGGAATTGTTTAATAGAACAATTTTCTCTCGCTTTTGCTTTCTCTCTCTGTATATGTACACAGATTATATATATATATATACATATCAGGAGTAAATAATCGCAACGAAGTCTGTCATGTATTTTTCTGGGTTTATAGCTTTTTACTGTTGTATTGCTGTAAATTGCATTCAAACATGGTGTTGATTCAGATGCTTTCGGCATGTTGTCACATCTATGTAAGCATATTTTGTAGGCCGACAAAGTTGACCAGCATTTACGTGGAATTATTTGGCGATAGAGTAGATAAACATTTAGATTTTGATATTAATACAATTTGTGTTGATTGACCATCACTTTCTGGGTAGTGTATTAAAGGAATATTTGCGAGATTCTTGCTCAGAAATGCTCAATCCAAATAAAATATTGTGAAATATAGTCTCACCTCACAGCGGATATATATTCACTGATTATACTAACTTGAGAAACACTAAGATTTCATGCAGTTATAGCATAGAAAATTGGATATGAACAAATCGTAACACAACGAAAATAACATCGAGTCGCGAGATTTGTTAAATGTGTCGACTTGCAATTTGTCGGTGCAAACGAGATTGTGCAAGAGACATGCAAGTCTATGGATGAAAGCTGGCGCTACTAACTGGCCCAAGATTACAAGACAAGTGCCGCGGAGCGACAGCGCTCATCTAACGTCTACTGCGGTGACTCTGTGGTGGAGTGGTGGGATTCTAGTAAACCCTGTTAGTCCCAAATGTGTTGACATATACCACGGCCCGAAAACGTAGAATGCACAGCGATGGTTCAGCGAACCTTCTAAAGGAATGTTCGCCTTGGGCATCGCTTATTGACACAGTTGCCACGCACAGATTTAGCGCGTATTTAAAGTGGCAACGCTTTTCATCCGTAGTGGCAACCAACTATTTGCATTGCGCATAGGTAAGCTACTCATCCATACCACTACTGCAGCGCCTACAGGCCCAGCAATAGATCCAGCGCTTGGCACCTACTAACTACTCTTAACTGCAGCGCGCAAGACTTACACGTAGGCCCTACCATACGCACCACACCTGCACTTGGCAGTGGCCACTGCGCAGCTGGCATACGTTACATTGTTAAAATACTGACATGCGTACACAGATAGCTCTCAATTATCACGATTCTAAGCGAGCACACTACACCCTTCTTCAACCACGTCTCTAGCTTCTTGAAATTTCATCCCTGGTGACATCTTGTAGCTCTCCATACATCGGTCCTGTACTAGTATTCTAGTTTAGCAACCCAGCATGTCAAAATTCTTTCTTAACCGACATAGTAAACAATTCGCATGTTTCAACCCTTTCACTCATCTGAGGGTCAACGGCATTATCCGTTTCATCTCTTATCTCTGCCTGTCAGAGAGGCGCTTTCTATGGTCCTTCTCAATAAAGCCCATAACAATGCTAGGGTCACCGCCTGAAACAAAGTTTTCAACTCGCTCGCTCAGACACTGTCCTCACGAAAATGTCTAATAATCTGCCTGTGACCATGACCTTTCGGACGGTGACTTTCATAATTGGCCACAGTGGATGCTCTTCCTACCATGATGGCTATACACCGACTATCCATGAGCCTAGCGTCTAGCGATTAGATTTGTGCCCGCAATTCTGCATTTCCTCCCTATCTTAAGTTAAGGAGCTGAATTGAGCTCCCCTCGCCTCTATCTCGCCCGCTGCACCCTCTTACGCGCTCCCCCCTTCTTTCTTACATCTCTTGCACTTTGACCTTTGACCCAGCTCCTCGACATCCAATACCGCGGTCTCTCTTGACGATCCTCTCCCCCGATGTGCTTGAATCACTTCGTGGTCCGCTACCGTCCTTCGAGGCCGGCTTAAGTAGTTGCGTACTCACGCCACAGACTGTTGTTGTACGCACGCCACGGACCTTGGCCCGGGCACGCCACGCAACATTCGCCCACGGACCTGATAATGCCGCTTCTACAAGCTGGCCCATCTGAACCTATGGTCAGGATGAGGCTAAAAAGTGGTGGGTAATCGACGAGTGTCGAAACTGCACCTTTTGCCGTGAATACACAAGGTTCTATACATTTTATGTTACTCTTAAACTGTCTCGCTGTTTGCTCAAGCAAATAATCTGGCTAGGTAATCTCATTAACAAAGTGGTGGAAGTCACGACACACTAGTTAGATCATTCTCGTGAAACTTATGGCTCTCTTCAAAGGGTCCTGCACAGCACGAGCTACCTAACTAAACTATGCACGTTTAGTGACCTCAGACAAACTAAAACTTCCTGCCAGAAACGGTAGGGCTTTAACAGACCAGGACTTTTCCAAAAACCAAGACTTCTGACCTGGCTCTCATGCGTTTTCCACTTTTTACTTAGTGTCTTGCGCTTTATTTGTGGAGTAACAGCAACTGCTTCTAGAGTATGCGTAACAATAACATGTTCTTAGAACCTCGCGTACACGCTATATTCACAAATAACATGCACAATTCGAATTTTTGATTAACGTTTTGATTTCTGCCGCAACTTTTCTTGCGAATTCGGGCCACGACGTTAACTCACAAAAATTAGATTGGCCCTTCTGTTCTGAATCAGCGTGCACTATCTACGGTTTCTTTCTGAGGGAATTGTTTTGTAGCGCCCGCTATTTGAGAATTAATTGCTCGCTATAATAATATGCTATGGTGTTCGATGTTCAATTCCAGGTTTTTCTATGGCTTAAGCAAAACATAAATCTTAGTGTTTTCAGTTGGTGTAATCGCGTATCGTATGCGCTATTATGTATTGCTCTAAGGTATATGTCCAGGGCGACTGCCGGAACGTCACCGGGGCTACTATCTAGCTGATATGCGCTTATGGATAGGTTAGGGTTAGGGTTTAAGGTTCATGGCCTCGTCGCCTCAGGGTTGTGCTGCACAAAGTGTACGCCGTTCCGGCCTCACTTAGATTTCAGCTAGTTACTCTTTATGATCCCTCTCGGCGCCTGTACGTTCCGCAGTACCGCTGCGGGGACATAGGGACTCCATCGCTCCTAGTATTAGTCGTCAGTACTATATTTCAGCTTTATACTTTTTCCTGCCAGATTCTTGCGCCCACTTCTCTCAGCAATCATTAACAAAACCATCTGTTTAAATGTTCAGACTTAACAGCGCGGTCGTGCTTGCAATTATTGACGCTCCGAGGTACCGAAGTGCAAGTTACTTCCCTGACTTTACTGTGCGAACTCCTGATTTGACATATGCAGGAGTCCGTTGTTGCACTCCTGAAATTTCTGCGTATACTAACTAGTTTGTTCTCTAGTAGTTAATTTCTACTCCTGAGCCACAGTATAGGCATGGATTTTACTGTTTACTATTTTATGCAAAAGATTTGCGGCATCAAAGAATTTTGGGACCCGCCGGCGTCTCCCTCGCACGAGCCATCATGTGTGTCTCGCGCCCTCATACGGTATCATTTGTGCTCTACACTAATCTGGTGTGCTCCCGCAAAAATTGTTTTTTTTTCCTTTTTTAAACTCGCTTGTGTGAATTTCAGTAAGCATTTTCAGCAATTGTCCAAAGAAAATTTGGCAGAGACGGTCCACCGCCCTGAATCTTCAAATTAAGCACTGTATGCATTATTGCTTATATCTTAATTTTGAACTTCAGTTAAGTATGAGACTCACCTCATTTTGCTGCTAACTCCTCTTTCAAAGTAATTTTCTACCCGCTGACAGCTATAGATGATTAACCCTTTGACTTTTTATGCAATGACTTTGCGGCATCAAGGATATTTGGGACCCTCGCCAACGACCAATATGTTTCCGCATGTATGAACTGCCGTTCATGTGCCCTACACTAAATTGGGTGCTCGCAAAAATTTACGCTTGTGGTGAATTTCATTAGATTTTCCCCATCGTACTCATATCTGCTAATATGATATTGCACTGCAACAAAAATATCCTTAACGCCTCACAAGATTGCAAGTAAATTCGGAACAAGTAATTGCCTTCTTCAAGTTCTTAAGTTGCCCACACATCGAACCACACGATCTGAAATAAACGTCAAGGGCCGCTCAACTAAGATTGGGCGTCGCGAGATGCTGGCGGTTGGCATAATTACGTTCAGGTGAGGCTGTGTCAGTGTGTCCCAATGGCTCATTCGTCACACATTACTGATACCCTTTCACACAGGCCACCTTTGTAGCGTTTCAATAACTATATAATGCTAAATAATACGAAATCTATTTACTACTAAAGTCTTAATGTTTCCTATACTACTCTTTCACCTTATTATTGCATAATTTCCTGTAACAATTGCGTCCAAAGCTCATCTACAACAAACACTGGCCTTGCCCTGCACACTGACACATAACATATATAGCAGGTAGAACAGCTGCCTGCCAAATTGCTCGACGTCGCTATGACTTTCACGCCGAATACAAACTCACATTCCCCCACTTTCTACTATCTCCATCCTTTGATGTCTTCTACATTTCGTAAGAACGATGTGTTCACATGTTATAAAACTCACTGTCTGTGTACCGTAACGAGCTGTGCTCACGCAAATATCACAGCAAAGCCTCGACGAAATTTTGTCGCCGCGGCTTCTCTTCCGCTTTGCGCAGTTTTCACTGTTCACACATGGCCGCTGCAAGTACAGGGCTATAGGTGTGCGCATGCTTTGTGAGAATTACACGCTGCTTCAAACTCCGTACGAGCCCGTCAAAGCCGCCAGTGGCAGCGTTACACAAAAACGTTGCGGCCGCCAAAAAATGAGGTCACAAAGCGCGCGGCTGGCGTGCTTTCCTGATTCCGGACAGCCATTTACATAACTGCCCCGCAACGGCGGGAAATGACTGCGAGAATTCGTCAGGCGCGGGGCGCGGCCGATTTGTGATTTTGTGGGACACAGCCTCGAGTTTGAACCACATGACAGTGTTTTTTTATAAACACAGTAAAACCACTTGAAATAGAAACATAGCATGGAGTAGCCTAATTGGTGAATATTTCTGTCGTTGTATTACGTGCTGAATCAAGCGGAGCCCGTCTCGAGCCAAATTTTAGCGCCACGCTTTCCTACCTGCGCTGATATATTGTGTGTCAG